GGGGATTCAGAGGGTCCTTGCCCTGTTTTTCCCCATAGTCTAATATTTTGCAATTAGGTTTGACTTTTTCTGGAAAATAAAATGATTGATTTGTGAGTGTGTTAGTGGCCATAAGTGTGATTTGCAGAAAAAAACAAAAAAAGAAATACAGCAGTTTGATCCCCAAAAGCAGCGAATCTGTGCACGAGAGTGAGAGTCATAATGTAGGGGCTGCCCATGTTCCTAGATAGTTGCAGAGGGGAGGGACCAATGAACAGCCCGACTGCATGCGCAGAAGACGAATTGTCACTGAGGGGCGTTCTCTTGACTTATACCAAACCTCTTTTGGGCCATACTGTGAAAAGTGACGACACGGGCGACGAAGGGAGGATGTCAACTACCCGATAAAAGACTGTTATATCGTCACTGCGCTGGTAAACAATGGCATATCTCAGAGTTGGGCCAAAATGCAGAGGTAGCATTTTGTTTTGATTTTGTTTGGTGGTACTATATATCTTATCTTTAGGTAAAACCGAAACAAAATTGCCCTGGCAGTCGCAAAAGAAACATGCATGGCAAGTTATACTATTCATCATCATCATCATCATCAATGCCTTTCACCCCTGGCAGGGTAAAGGCCAAATACAAGCTCCTTCCATTTATCTCTGTCCTGAGCCATCCTTCCAAGCTCGTTCCAAGTGAGCTTCATTTCTCTCATGTCCCTTTCCACGCATCTCCTCCATGTTTCCCGTGGCCTACCCCTGCCTCGTGCTCCTAATATACTATTATTAGATGATAAATTTGTCAAGTTAAACAGTCTCTGTGTGTTACCAGGGAGAGTTTTTAACGTATATGTACGTTGGTTTCCGCAGTTATGTTTAAAAGCAAAGAGAGTTCCTTTTCACCTGTAAGCGTACTCTGGTTTCCCGCAGGTACGTGCAAGAGCAGGAGGAGAGTTTTTACGTATAAATTAATTATACGTACGTTGTTTTTTCCCCCACAGGTACATGCGAGAGCAGGAGGAGAGCGAACGGGAGGCCCTCCTGTCGCGCACATTCACCACCAACGAGCAGGAGCACTCGGTGATGATCGACCCGGCGCTGCAGCACCACTCGCGCCTCAACGACTCGCACCGACAGCTGGACGACCTACTCAGCCACGGCGGCAGCATCATCTCGGGCCTACGCGACCAGCGCGTCACGCTGAAGGGCGCCCAGCGGCGCATCCTGGACATCGGCAACACGCTGGGGCTGACCAACACGGTTATGCGGCTCATCGAGAAGCGCACAGGCCAGGACAAGGTCATCATGGTGGCGCTCATGCTGGCCAGCTGTGTGCTCATGTACTGCGTGTGGCGCTACTTCTCCTGAGCCGCTACTG